TAAATCTCTTATAGCTTTATTTTCTTCGGAATTGCAATGTTGTAATCTGAGATTCTTAAGATTAGCTTTCAGTAGATTATCTTTGGAAGGGTCAACCTCAATAACGTCGTCAACTTCCATTTTTTCTATAAAATTGATTTCGTTAACATTCAGTAATTCTGAATTAAAAGGTGCAGTTATTTTGATAGTTATTGGTTCTGATCTAGAATTAATAATGGTTGTTGTTGCAAAATAATTTTCGATATTAGTAATAGCTTCTGGTGACTCTATTTGTTCATCGAATTTAATATAATTTAGAATGCAATGACCTTTTTCGTACTTGACTGGCAGTTTTACCACTTGTTGTGTTCTAGCAGGAATAGTTATAGAACAATTAAAGTTACTTATTCTTTTACTTGTATTAATTTTTTCCAATTCAAAAATAATTGGTATTTTTACAATCGGAGTGATTAATAATTTCTTGTTAACATCCAATACAGCTTGTAGTTGTGCTAACAAATCAATGCCAATCAGTCCGTCATATTTTTTGCTAAAATCAAAAACAAAGAATTTATGCTTATTCTTGTCTTTAAAAATATCAAAACTTGGTATTAATACTGCTTGGTCGTGATAAGAAATATTGTGAGGTGTTTGAATCTGAAATTCTTCTTGAAAAGTATAATTTCTGTAAAATTTATTAATTATTTTCGAAGACAGCAAACTTTTAGTGCTCCCTGTATCTATTAAGATATTTGCTTTTATTTCAGGGATGTACAGATAAGGCAAATTTGCTGCGGTCACGTTCAAGTTAATTAAGTTACTTTGTTGTTGGATGTGATTATATGAAAATTTAATTCATCAGCTTCCTCCTGAGAAGTGCTGGCTGTCGAAATTTCAGACTGTTGTAAGTTACTTACATTGTTGCACTCTGCGTATGGGTTATAAGTATTATATGGCATTTCTTCATTAGAAGGATAATAATTATTATCAAAAGAATATTGGTCATTTGGATCGAAATTTTGATCTTGATCGTTTTGGTATAAATATGAATAATCAAAGTTATCGGCATGACTCATCATATTTTGATAATCAAAGTATTGACTTGGATCATAAGGATTATTTTCAATACTTTGTTGGTTTAATTCTGTGAATGTATATTTGGGTTGTTGTCTTTGATTGTTAATCATTGTGTTGCCAGATGAAGTATCCATTGGCTCGGGTTTCTGTTTATTCTGATTGTTTTGATTGGGATTATTGAAAGGTGGTCGAAATTGATTATTTCGAATTATTTGGCTCGGTTTTTGGCCAGAGAAAAATGGTCTTTGGAAATTGGGTCTAAATTGTGAATAATTGGGTTGGAATGTATTTGGTCTGAATTGGAATGTATTATTTGGTCTTGGATAAAATGTATTTGGTCCTGATGATTGGAAACCAAATGGCCTGTGATTGTTATTGAATGGTGGTCTCTGAAATGCGAGATTTGTTTGCTGGTTATTTTGGTAGTTAATATTTTTGTTACGAGGGTGATTATTGCTGCTATTGTTATTAGCAGGAGTAACTCTCTGGTTTAGTCTGAAGTTTTGAAAGTTAAGTAAATTATTACGACTTTGGCTGTATAAGAAGTTTTCTTCCTCAATCACGAGAGAGAGAGACATTGCTTTTTCAAGGCTTATAGGGTCTCGTAAACGGATATTATTTTGTAGCTGACCTGGTAAACCTCTTATAAATGTTTTTAAGGCAAGATCGTTATAGTTTTGAGTTTTGATGTCAAGTTCGTCTTGTGTTAAATTCAATGAGTTTAATTTTGAGAATACCAAAGAACGTGCGTCTTGGCATCGCATGCCAAAATTATAAGGTGTTTCGGTTTTATTAGGTGATAGCGTGATTAAATCTTGAACAAGGCAATCCAAATTTCTTTGATCACCAAAACTTAACTCTAAAGCAAATTTTACATCGTTCCAAGTTTTTAATTCGTTAATTCGAGAACCAATTAAGCTGAGGGCTCGACCTGATAATTTCCCAATTATTGCTCTCACAATAAAGCTGTTGTGAACATCGTCATTGTCACGATGGAAATTACTAATAAGACAACTGCAATTATTGATGAAAATGGTTAATGTGTGCGGATCTCCATCATAAGGAGGAATAGTGTCCACATACAAACGTAACAATTGGTAATTGATTGGTTGATTTTGGTTAGGCATTGTATTATTTGGTAAATTCAAAGTTGGTTGTTGTTATGATTTGTTGTTTGAAAATTAATTAAATTAAATCTATTTATGATATTTTCGATTTCGTCTTCAGAATCAGACATAAATCGTTAAAAAGCAAAAAGAAAAAATAGTGACTTTATAAAAAATGAGCAAAAATCTATAAAAATAAACTTAAAATTTACTTACATTAATAGAAAAATGATTTGTTTCATTCCTGTAGCATTTATTTCACTTATTTTCTACACTTAACTACTGTTCCAAGAGGAAAGAAGCGATTTTTGTCTTCAACTCCCTAGATTTCTTAAACTAGCTGGTTTTGGCGATGTGGTCCTCCACCAGTTACTGCTTCAGTTTGATTTTCGCCGTTTGTTGCCCGGAACCACGATGATTGCCAAATTAACCGTAACGGAACTTTTTGCGAAATTACGAGCGATTTTTGTCTCGACGATAACGCGACGTTTTGGCAAATCCTACCGACTGCGCCAATTTTAGGTTCGATTAGGGCAAGTTACTTTTTAAAAAACAAACTTTTAAAAGCAGGGACTTTATTACTCGAAATACAAATGAATAAAGACGAATTTTCATCCGTTACAATGGCTTAAATAAAATGGTATAAATGTAAAGTCAGCAGTAATAATCGTGTGGGTCGCTCGAAGTCGGATTGTTGTTACGGTTCTCATCCATAAGAGGCCATGTATAGAGTGTACATAACTTACTATTACCATCTTGTAAATAATTATTTTAGGGCATTGAAATTTTAAAACATGGGTATATAAGTGCAAAATATAATTATTATTGTCATATTATTCTAAATTATACTGTGCGTTCGTAATTTAGCAGATAAAAACAATAAAAGAGAAAGAAAAACCTCGAACACAAATTTTAATTTAGGAGAACGTCTTTTTTTCACTATTTGTATAGTTGTGAAACATCGAAAATTCCAAAAAGAAGGCCACGTTTCACATTTTTAAATTACACACTGTATCAGATACTTTCGAATTACATTGTACTGAATTTTTTTATTTTTCTTTCTCTTATATTTGGGCCTACATTGTACATCATACCAAATGGAAATATAAAAAGTAGGGCCTATAAGCAAGAATTAACGAGCAAATTAATAAAATACAGAAAGTTTGAAACATGAAAAAATTATAATATTATATCTATACTATGTACCTATCTAATAACGGCAAATCTGTCCAGGGTAAGTAACACCCGATAAAGAAACTCTCCGTTGCGATATCAGGTGTTACATTCAAATTTGCGAACGTGAGCCAAATGGGTGTTACTTACCTCCATGCGGCCGGGACACCTAAAATCTGTTTTTTTTTAAAGATAATTCCCCAAGTCAAAAATTTAGTAACTATGTTGGCAACACAAGCCTTTTCTACATGAAAAATTTGAAAGCATTGACAATTTTACATTGTATTGCCAACCTAATGTCAAAACGCACTTTATCATACATTCTTCCGATCCGACTCCGATCATACAATCAAGGTCCTTATTCTTGGAATAGGCGAGCAGCGTTCCCAGGAGAACGCTTCGGAACACTGCTTTCTGTTCCAAGAATAAGAATCCTGATTGTATGATCGGAGTCGGATCGGAAGAATGTATGATAGATGTGTCCCGGGCTTAAGTAACGTCGCTATTATGGTTTTAGATCGAACTTAGATTTGAGGTTGACTTGTCCATATTTCCTAAATGATCTTCCATCTGTATAATTACCTTGTTTCAATGCCAATTTTCGACAAACCTCTTCAGTATGACCACTGTATTCACAATTGGTACAACGAAATTTTTTATTTGAAGCGTTATCTCAAAACTTGTTTGATATCATTTGAATGTTCAAATGTTTCCTCCACCAACCGTGCTTGAATTAAAAGTTCGTTGAAACTTTGTTGAAACAGTTCACCCTATCACGCGGCACTTTTTCTCCAATTGACTCCCAATCGAAAAGTGTACGGTAATAAGCTATTTTTTGCTCCTTGGGCGCAAGGCCGTCGGCAGTCGCCGATGCCTAGCTACACCACTGATTCGGTGATAACCTATAAAACATAAGCCGTCCGGCCCTTAGATGTCCGGCCATCCGCCACTTGCCGACGCTCCCCTGTAGCCTCTCAAGACCGGGGAGCATAACTTTGGTAATTTAACATGACAAATTTCTTTACCGGTAATTTTCAGAAATGCTTCCTGAATGAAATCACTTCCAGGCGACAATCCTTTTCGTGCATCTGTAACGCGCTCTTAGGGTTGGCATAAACAGTTTTCTACCTAACAAGTGCGGAAAGTGGTGCTTTTCCGCACGTGACGGCAGTTAATGGCAAACTGTCAAAGGTGCAAAAGATATTTTCCGCAGAAGTTAGGTTCAATGTTTTTGTCCATCTCATCATTTATCAAAAACTGAGCAAGATCTAGGTTTTCTCAATAGAGAATAGTACCTATAGATAATAAATTTGATGTAAAAAATATGTAGTACCACTGGCGTAGCCAGGGGGGGGGCAAGGGGGCATTTGCCCCCCCCAAGACCCTTACATTTTATGAATATTTCTTCAAAATTAAGATAAACAGTCCCAAAAATAGCGTAAAGAAACCTGAAAAAGGGGCGTGGCACCCAAAAATTTCGCGCCTGCGGCGCTAAGCCTCCGGCAGCGGTGGCGGTAGGGCCGCAAAAGACGCTTCCTGCAAATTTGCCCCCCCAAGACAAAATCCTGGCTACGCCACTGTGTAGTACCTACCTATATTTTGAATTAAAACATTGTGCTTGTAGGAAAAACCTATCTCAACAAATAAAAAAAAAAAACATACATCTTAATTATTAAACATTTATTAACATTTTTTTAATGTTTTGTCTTGTTTTTAATTTTCTTCTTTTTTGTAGCAGGACTTCCTTCTTCCAGGCCCACTATGCTCTTGTTTTTGTTGTCGTGTACCCGTTTTTCCCCACTAAAAGAAACATTCATAAGAGCTTCAAAAGTATATTAATTCAAACCTAAAAACAATTTACCTTTTAACCGTAATGATGCTCTTTTTGGTTTTGCCAGTCAGTGCTTTGCTCCATTCGTCTTCTGAACCTTTAATGACAAACTGTTCCAGGTTTTCCTTTTTTAGTTTTTCCAGCTCTTTTTTCTGCTTCTTTTGCAAATCCTTGGCTGCTTCTTCTAGTTCATCTTGCATGCTTTTAGCTACTGGAGTTAAATCGACTTCTTTTTGAGGCTGCAACGATTGCTCAACATCTTTTTCTAGAATTGAGTGCAAATATTGCTGGAATTTTCTCATTGTTCGGTTGAATAATCCTAAAAGTTGTGAGGAGGGCAAATCTAAGTCAACAGCCAATTCATCAACGGTTTTATGTTGCAAACCAAGCCCCAATACAATAGCAGATTGCACTGCAGATATTTGAACATCACCCATTTCATTTAAGAAATATCTTCTTGCTAATGTGGGCAACAAATCCATAATCAAATGATAATCAACCAAATTCCTACTATACATTTCCAGCCTTTTTAAATCATAGTTTGTTATATGCAAATTCAATTGGTCTTTGTTTAAATCTGTGTGGCTTAATTTGGCTGCCTTATTGGTTAGTACCCCCAAAGCCAAACTAGGAGAAAATTTACGAAATTGATAGGCCAACAAGTTGATGAATCTTCTACGGAAATCGGTCCAGTAAGCTGTGAGCCATTGATGTTGTTGAGCATCTTCCTGGTTTAATACATCAAGCATTATACAAGAGTGTTCACCTGTTAAGTCATTGGTTGTTTGTCTCAAGTAAACTGGCACAAAATTGGCACGTTTCCAGAATTTTAATAGAGGCTCAGTTAGGCCAAAGGAAACTCCTAAATAGTCTAGTTTTTCTGGAGGCCTTTCGCTTAGTTTAAGTAGCAGAGGTGGAAGAGATTTTTTTGGCTCAATAGTTTCTTCCAAAAGTCCAATAGTTTCATTGTCAACAGTTTCAATTGTCTCAGGCACATCCACATTTGTTTCCAAACTAGGAATCTTCATTTCGTAATAACGTTTTAACAAATCCAAGGCTCTTGCCCCATAGCCCATGCCTTGGTAGTCTGGATGAGTTGCTATTCGTACGATTCTGGCTCCTGCCAGTTTTGGAAAGTCGGCGTCTTGATATTGCTGGGCTACTGTCCACGGGATTAAGTCTCCGGAGGCGCGTTTGCCTCTGGAAAAGCCTTCTTGGACGCTGGATTTGGAGATTTCGCCTTCCAAGCAAACCTAGATAATGTGAAAGGAAAAATTGATTTTATTCCAGGCTTTTGTTACATCTGCCTATATAAACAACTATCTTGCAATCACGAGTAATTCCAACAGGATTGGAACAATGACTTCAGAAGACAAGGAAACTTTTCAACAACATGAAAGTGGAGCGAGTACCGTAAAACTCTGACCACGGAGCAAACCACCTAGGAATTCTTTGCCAAAAATGTGGAGAATTTAAAGGAATTTGTGGGGAATTGGTAAAAACTCATTGGGGAATTTATAGGGAATTTGGAAAAATTTATGGAGTAGGTATTTGGGAGAATTTGTGAGGAATTTATGAGAAATTTAAAGGAAATTGTCAAATTTAAAAAATTCAGAAGAATAATGAATACAGTTTTTGTAGGTTGATTTACAAGGTTTTTCATGTAACTGTTTTTCACTGGAAAAATTTGAAATATTGAAAAAATGATATTCTCACCTTCCTCTTTGCATGCAAAAAGTTTCAAAATTTTCCCTTCACTAGTTTTCTAGGAAAACTTTGAAATGTGTGAGACTGTAGTTTCAATTAATTCAGTTATTGTAGGTTGATTTCCAATATGCCTCATGTTGTTATTTTCCACTAGAAAAAATTGAAATTTTGGGAAAATGAGCTTCTCACTTTCCTCTTTATATGCAAAAAGTTTCAAAATGTTCTCTTCACTAGTTTTCTAGGAAAACTTTGAATTGCAGGAGACTGTATTTTCAACTAATACAGTTTTTGTAGGTTGATTTCCAATATTCCTCATGTTGTTATTTTCTACTGGAAAAATCTGAAATTTTGGGAAAATGAGCGTCTCACCTTCCTCTTTACATGCAAAAAGTTTCAAAATGTTCTCTTCACTAATTTTCCAGGAAACCTTTGAACCTGTATTTTCAACTAATTCAGTTTTTGTAGGTTAATTTCCAATATTCCTCATGTTGTTATTTTCCACTAGAAAAAATTGAAATTTTGGGAAAATGAGCTTCTCACTTTCCTCTTTACATGCAAAAAGTTTCAAAATGTTCTCTTCACTAGTTTTCCAGGAAAACTTTGAATTGTGGGAGACTGTATTTTCAACTAATACAGTTTTTGTAGGTTGATTTCCAATATTCCTCATGTTGTTATTTTCTACTGGAAAAATCTGAAATTTTGGGAAAATGAGCTTCTCACTTTCCTCTTTACATGTAAAAAGTTTCAAAATTTTCCCTTCACTAGTTTTCTAGGAAAACTTTGAAATGTGTGAGACTGTAGTTTCAATTAATTCAGTTATTGTAGGTTGATTTCCAATATGCGTCATGTTGATATTTTCCACTAGAAAAAATTGAAATTTTGGGGAAAATGAGCTTCTCACTTTCCTCTTTATATGCAAAAAGTTTCAAAATGTTCTCTTCACTAGTTTTCTAGGAAAACTTTGAATTGCAGGAGACTGTATTTTCAACTAATACAGTTTTTGTAGGTTGATTTCCAATATTCCTCATGTTGTTATTTTCTACTGGAAAAATCTGAAATTTTGGGAAAATGAGCATCTCACCTTCCTCTTTACATGCAAAAAGTTTCAAAATGTTCTCTTCACTAATTTTCCAGGAAACCTTTGAACCTGTATTTTCAACTAATTCAGTTTTTATAGGTTAATTTCCAATATTCCTCATGTTGTTATTTTCCACTAGAAAAAATTGAAATTTTGGGAAAATGAGCTTCTCACTTTCCTCTTTACATGCAAAAAGTTTCAAAATGTTCTCTTCACTAGTTTTCCAGGAAAACTTTGAATTGTGGGAGACTGTATTTTCAACTAATACAGTTTTTGTAGGTTGATTTCCAATATTCCTCATGTTGTTATTTTCTACTGGAAAAATCTGAAATTTTGGGAAAATGAGCTTCTCACTTTCCTCTTTACATGTAAAAAGTTTCAAAATTTTCCCTTCACTAGTTTTCTAGGAAAACTTTGAAATGTGTGAGACTGTAGTTTCAATTAATTCAGTTATTGTAGGTTGATTTCCAATATGCGTCATGTTGATATTTTCCACTAGAAAAAATTGAAATTTTGGGAAAATGAGCTTCTCACTTTCCTCTTTATATGCAAAAAGTTTCAAAATGTTCTCTTCACTAGTTTTCTAGGAAAACTTTGAATTGCAGGAGACTGTATTTTCAACTAATACAGTTTTTGTAGGTTGATTTCCAATATTCCTCATGTTGTTATTTTCTACTGGAAAAATCTGAAATTTTGGGAAAATGAGCGTCTCACCTTCCTCTTTACATGCAAAAAGTTTCAAAATGTTCACTTCACTAATTTTCCAGGAAACCTTTGAACCTGTATTTTCACCTAATTCAGTTTTTGTAGGTTAATTTCCAATATTCCTCATGTTGTTATTTTCCACTAGAAAAAATTGAAATTTTGGGAAAATGAGCTTCTCACTTTCCTCTTTACATGCAAAAAGTTTCAAAATGTTCTCTTCACTAGTTTTCCAGGAAAACTTTGAATTGTGGGAGACTGTATTTTCAACTAATACAGTTTTTGTAGGTTGATTTCCAATATTCCTCATGTTGTTATTTTCTACTGGAAAAATCTGAAATTTTGGGAAAATGAGCTTCTCACTTTCCTCTTTACATGTAAAAAGTTTCAAAATGTTCTCTTCACTAGTTTTCCAGGAAAACTTTGAATTGTGGGAGACTGTATTTTCAATTAATTCAGTTATTGTAGGTTGATTTTCAATATTCCTCATGTTGTTATCTTCCAATGGAAAAAATTGAAATTTTGGGAAAATGAGCTTCTCACTTTCCTCTTTACATGTAAAAAGTTTCAAAATGTTCTCTTCACTAGTTTTCCAGGAAAACTTTGAATTATGGGAGACTATATTTTCAATTAATTCAGTTTTTGTAGGTTGATTTCCAATATTCCTCATGTTGTTATTTTCCACTAGAAAAAATTGAAATTTTGGGAAAATGAGCTTCTCACTTTCCTCTTTATACGCAAAAAGTTTCAAAATGTTCTCTTCACTAGTTTTCTAGGAAAACTTTGAATTGCGGGAGACTGTATTTTCAACTAATACAGTTTTTGTAGGTTGATTTCCAATATTCCTCATATTGTTATTTTCTACTGGAAAAATCTGAAATTTTGGGAAAATGAGCGTCTCACCTTCCTCTTTACATGCAAAAAGTTTCAAAATGTTCACTTCACTAATTTTCCAGGAAACCTTTGAACCTGTATTTTCAACTAATTCAGTTTTTGTAGGTTAATTTCCAATATTCCTCATGTTGTTATTTTCCACTAGAAAAAATTGAAATTTTGGGAAAATGAGCTTCTCACTTTCCTCTTTACATGTAAAAAGTTTCAAAATGTTCTCTTCACTAGTTTTCTAGGAAAACTTTGAATTGTGGGAGACTGTATTTTCAACTAATTCAGTTTTTGTAGGTTGATTTCCAATATTCCTCATGTTGTTATTTTCTACTGGAAAAATCTGAAATTTTGGGAAAATGAGCTTCTCACTTTCCTCTTTACATGTAAAAAGTTTCAAAATGTTCTCTTCACTAGTTTTCCAGGAAAACTTTGAATTGTGGGAGACTGTATTTTCAATTAATTCAGTTATTGTAGGTTGATTTTCAATATTCCTCATGTTGTTATTTTCCAATGGAAAAAATTGAAATTTTGGGAAAATGAGCTTCTCACTTTCCTCTTTACATGTAAAAAGTTTCAAAATGTTCTCTTCACTAGTTTTCTAGGAAAACTTTGAATTGTGGGAGACTGTATTTTCAACTAATTCAGTTTTTGTAGGTTGATTTCCAATATTCCTCATGTTGTTATTTTCTACTGGAAAAATCTGAAATTTTGGGAAAATGAGCTTCTCACTTTCCTCTTTACATGTAAAAAGTTTCAAAATGTTCTCTTCACTAGTTTTCCAGGAAAACTTTGAATTGTGGGAGACTGTATTTTCAATTAATTCAGTTATTGTAGGTTGATTTTCAATATTCCTCATGTTGTTATTTTCCAATGGAAAAAATTGAAATTTTGGGAAAATGAGCTTCTCACTTTCCTCTTTACATGTAAAAAGTTTCAAAATTTTCTCTTCACTAGTTTTCCAGGAAAACTTTGAATTATGGGAGACTATATTTTCAATTAATTCAGTTTTTGTAGGTTGATTTCCAATATTCCTCATGTTGTTATTTTCCACTAGAAAAAATTGAAATTTTGGGAAAATGAGCTTCTCACTTTCCTCTTTATATGCAAAAAGTTTCAAAATGTTCTCTTCACTAGTTTTCCAGGAAAACTTTGAATTGTGGGAGACTGTATTTTCAACTAATACAGTTTTTGTAGGTTGATTTCCAATATTCCTCATGTTGTTATTTTCTACTGGAAAAATCTGAAATTTTGGGAAAATGAGCTTCTCACTTTCCTCTTTACATGTAAAAAGTTTCAAAATGTTCTCTTCACTAGTTTTCCAGGAAACCTTTGAATTGTGGGAGACTGTATTTTCAATTAATTCAGTTATTGTAGGTTGATTTTCAATATTCCTCATGTTGTTATCTTCCAATGGAAAAAATTGAAATTTTGGGAAAATGAGCTTCTCACTTTCCTCTTTACATGTAAAAAGTTTCAAAATGTTCTCTTCACTAGTTTTCCAGGAAAACTTTGAATTATGGGAGACTATATTTTCAATTAATTCAGTTTTTGTAGGTTGATTTCCAATATTCCTCATGTTGTTATTTTCCACTAGAAAAAATTGAAATTTTGGGAAAATGAGCTTCTCACTTTCCTCTTTATACGCAAAAAGTTTCAAAATGTTCTCTTCACTAGTTTTCTAGGAAAACTTTGAATTGCGGGAGACTGTATTTTCAACTAATACAGTTTTTGTAGGTTGATTTCCAATATTCCTCATATTGTTATTTTCTACTGGAAAAATCTGAAATTTTGGGAAAATGAGCGTCTCACCTTCCTCTTTACATGCAAAAAGTTTCAAAATGTTCACTTCACTAATTTTCCAGGAAACCTTTGAACCTGTATTTTCAACTAATTCAGTTTTTGTAGGTTAATTTCCAATATTCCTCATGTTGTTATTTTCCACTAGAAAAAATTGAAATTTTGGGAAAATGAGCTTCTCACTTTCCTCTTTACATGCAAAAAGTTTCAAAATGTTCTCTTCACTAGTTTTCCAGGAAAATTTTGAATTGTGGGAGACTGTATTTTCAATTAATTCAGTTATTGTAGGTTGATTTTCAATATTCCTCATGTTGTTATTTTCCAATGGAAAAAATTGAAATTTTGGGAAAATGAGCTTCTCACTTTCCTCTTTACATGTAAAAAGTTTCAAAATGTTCTCTTCACTAGTTTTCTAGGAAAACTTTGAATTGTGGGAGACTGTATTTTCAACTAATTCAGTTTTTGTAGGTTGATTTCCAATATTCCTCATGTTGTTATTTTCTACTGGAAAAATCTGAAATTTTGGGAAAATGAGCTTCTCACTTTCCTCTTTACATGTAAAAAGTTTCAAAATGTTCTCTTCACTAGTTTTCCAGGAAAACTTTGAATTGTGGGAGACTGTATTTTCAATTAATTCAGTTATTGTAGGTTGATTTTCAATATTCCTCATGTTGTTATTTTCCAATGGAAAAAATTGAAATTTTGGGAAAATGAGCTTCTCACTTTCCTCTTTACATGTAAAAAGTTTCAAAATGTTCTCTTCACTAGTTTTCCAGGAAAACTTTGAATTATGGGAGACTATATTTTCAATTAATTCAGTTTTTGTAGGTTGATTTCCAATATTCCTCATGTTGTTATTTTCCACTAGAAAAAATTGAAATTTTGGGGAAAATGAGCTTCTCACTTTCCTCTTTATATGCAAAAAGTTTCAAAATGTTCTCTTCACTAGTTTTCTAGGAAAACTTTGAATTATGGGAGACTATATTTTCAATTAATTCAGTTTTTGTAGGTTGATTTCCAATATTCCTCATGTTGTTATTTTCCACTAGAAAAAATTGAAATTTTGGGAAAATGAGCTTCTCACTTTCCTCTTTATATGCAAAAAGTTTCAAAATGTTCACTTCACTAGTTTTCCAGGAAACCTTTGAACCTGTATTTTCAACTAATTCAGTTTTTGTAGGTTAATTTCCAATATTCCTCATGTTGTTATTTTCCACTAGAAAAAATTGAAATTTTGGGAAAATGAGCTTCTCACTTTCCTCTTTATATGCAAAAAGTTTCAAAATGTTCACTTCACTAGTTTTCCAGGAAACCTTTGAACCTGTATTTTCAACTAATTCAGTTTTTGTAGGTTAATTTCCAATATTCCTCATGTTGTTATTTTCCACTAGAAAAAATTGAAATTTTGGGAAAATGAGTTTCTCACTTTCCTCTTTACATGCAAAAAGTTTCAAAATGTTCTCTTTACTAGTTTTCTAGGAAAACTTTGAATTGTGGGAGACTATATTTTCAACTAATTCAGTTTTTGTAGGTTGATTTCCAATATTCCTCATGTTGTTATTTTCCACTAGAAAAATTTGAAATTTTGGGAAAATGATCTTCTCACCTTCCTCTTTACATGCAGAAAGTTTCAAAATTTTCCTTTTTTATAGAGGAATTTGTGGGGTATTTGGAGGACATTGTGATGGGGTAAGTATCTGGAAGAATTTTGAGGAATTATGCGAAAAAAAAAATTCTAAATTATATTTAGAGCAAGCTTGGGACTAAATCATATCCCCTGGAAAAAAATCAGAGTGGTTTTCATCCGCTAGCCTGGCAAAATGGGTTAAGACAATGCAAAAACTCTGAGAACTCATGAGAACCAGAGTTTTCAGTGTAATTCAAAAAACCTCATTATTTAAAAAAAAAAAACTGTGAATTTTTAGTATCTTTTTACCTTAAACTACCTTAAAAACATAATCACCTGTATAAACACTAATACTTCCGGTAAACTGCTCCTATTAGGATCCACAGGCCCCAAAAGACAAAACAAGTGGTGCGCAGGGGCATCAGACATCATTTGCAAATCATTAGGACTATTCTTGTAGTGTGAACTCACATACAAAGCCACTAGTCTTTGCAAAAACCTCTCAGAAGCTTTGTGATAGCAAAATAACGTATCCCTATTGATGTAGTACAAGTCACAATTGTCAGGAGCTGGACATCCGCTTAGTAATGGGGCTACTGAAGTAGAATCCAGACATAATAGTTGCGTGAGCCAAATTTCAACTTCATCCCCTGGCTTGTAACGAATTGACTCATTTAAAGTAACTTCGTGTAGGGTCCTCCCTGTTGCTGCAACTGATTCTTTCTTTTTTGATGCATTTGTGTTTGCTCCCACTGGAACAGTTTGGACACGTAACTGATTCAACAATTTCAAAGACAGAGACCTTCCGGTGCCTTCATAACCATTGATTGTTGAAGCTAAAAATACTAAATAAGGCCCAAGCATTGTTTTTACAAAAGGCAATGGAATAGCAGCTGCTTCATCAATAACCAACAATTCAGCTTGCGCAAGCTTATGTGCATCAGTTGGATGAATATATTGAATAGTTTGCCTATGGTCTCTGATAATGTTGACTCTGACAATTGCCTTATTGAATTCTGGATTGGTGCTTTGCACCAATCCATAGTCAATATGTTCTTGATACTCTAAGGCATCAAAACCTTTAAAGACAAACTCAAAAAAGGTGTTTAGGTTTTCGGGACTTGGACTTGTTACAAAAATGTTTGAATAACCAAAGGCTACAGCAGCTGAAACTGCTAGGCCTAATGCAGCTGATTTGCCTCTACCTCTTGCAGCTGTCAATGACACTGTAGACCTATAAAAATGTATATTTATTATAATTATGATGTAACAACCAAGAAAATAAGTACCTTAAAGTCTTCTCTGAAATAGCTTCAATGAACTTTAATAAGGCCTTGCCTTGATCTAAAGTCTTGCAACAATTGACCAAATTGCCAACAGGCTGAGTGTCACGTAATTGTTGTTTTAACTCATTCAGTTGCAGCTCGTTTTCTGATTCTTCTTGTGAAGCTTCTACAGGAGTTACATGAAGATTGTGGGAGGATACTGGTAAGACTCTGAGCTGATCATCCACCACTAAACATCTATTGAATTTTGGGTTAAAGGGAATTTGATTGTTTGTTGTTGCACTTACCTTTTACATGAAGCCAAAGACAATAGGAATCTTTCATTGAATCTGGGGACTATGTCTTGGTGGGCTTCGGTTCTGTATCTCTGGTGGACGTCCATGCTGATTGTGTACAATTGTTTCAAGGATTCGACTGATCTGAAATGATCGTTTTGTTGGAGAAAAAATTGATTTTTTCCAGGCTTTTGTAGGGGGATATTGAGTGTCTTGTACCATGAAATTTTGGGAATTTTTAGGATGAAACTATTGCTCGTAACTCCATTAATAATTACTCAATTGCCTCGAATTTTTAGTATTTTTTACATTGAATCTTTAGGAAAAAGTCCTCAAAATTTCAACTTTTCATTCACTTTAGTTTTTGAGTGAAAAAATTGTTTGTAAAGTCTTACTTTACAAAACAACACTATTTTTAAAAAATCATAACTCTATTAATAATAACTCAATTGCTTTGAGTTTTTAGTATTTTTTACATTGAACCTTAAGGAAAAAGTCCTCAAAATTTCAACTTTCCACTCACTTAAGTTTTTGAGTGGAAAAATTATTTGTGAAGTCTTACTTTACAAAACGACATTATTTTTAAAAAATCATAACTCCATTAATAATAACTCAATGGCTTTGAATTTTCACTATTTTTTACATTGGACCTTTAGGAAAAAGTCCTCAAAATTTCAACTTTCCACTCACTTTAGTTTTTGAGTGAAAAAATTGTTTGTAAAGTCTTACTTTACAAAACAACATTATTTTTAAAAAATCATAACTCCATTAATAATAACTCAATGGCGTTGAATTTTCACTATTTTTTACATTGGACCTTTAGGAAAAAGTCCTCAAAATTTCAACTTTCCACTCACTTTAGTTTTTGAGTGAAAAAATTGTTTGTAAAGTCTTACTTTACAAAACGACATTATTTTTAAAAAATCATAACTCCATTAATAATAACTCAATGGCTTTGAATTTTCACTATTTTTTACATTGGACCTTTAGGAAAAAGTCCTCAAAATTTCAACTTTCCACTCACTTTAGTTTTTGAGTGAAAAAATTGTTTGTAAAGTCTTACTTTACAAAACAACATTATTTTTAAAAAATCATAACTCCATTAATAATAACTCAATGGCGTTGAATTTTCACTATTTTTTACATTGGACCTTTAGGAAAAAGTCCTCAAAATTTCAACTTTCCACTCACTTTAGTTTTTGAGTGAAAAAATTGTTTGTAAAGTCTTACTTTACAAAACGACATTATTTTTAAAAAATCATAACTCCATTATTAATAACTCAATGGCTTTGAATTTTCACTATTTTTTACATTGGACCTTTAGGAAAAAGTCCTCAAAATTTCAACTTTCCACTCACTTTAGTTTTTGAGTGAAAAAATTGTTTGTAAAGTCTTACTTTACAAAACAACATTATTTTTAAAAAATCATAACTCCATTAATAATAACTCAATGGCGTTGAATTTTCACTATTTTTTACATTGGACCTTTAGGAAAAAGTCCTCAAAATTTCAACTTTCCACTCACTTTAGTTTTTGAGTGAAAAAATTGTTTGTAAAGTCTTACTTTACAAAACGACATTATTTTAAAAAATCATAACTCCATTAATAATAACTCAATGGCTTTGAATTTTCACTATTTTTTACATTGGACCTTTAGGAAAAAGTCCTCAAAATTTCAACTTTCCACTCACTTTAGTTTTTGAGTGAAAAAATTGTTTGTAAAGTCTTACTTTACAAAACGACATTATTTTTAAAAAATCATAACTCCATTAATAATAACTCAATGGCTTTGAATTTTCACTATTTTTTACATTGGACCTTTAGGAAAAAGTCCTCAAAATTTCAACTTTCCACTCACTTTAGTTTTTGAGTGAAAAAATTGTTTGTAAAGTCTTACTTTACAAAACAACATTATTTTTAAAAAATCATAACTCCATTAATAATAACTCAATGGCGTTGAATTTTCACTATTTTTTACATTGGACCTTTAGGAAAAAGTCCTCAAAATTTCAACTTTCCACTCACTTTAGTTTTTGAGTGAAAAAATTGTTTGTAAAGTCTTACTTTACAAAACGACATTATTTTTAAAAAATCATAACTCCATTAATAATAACTCAATGGCTTTGAATTTTCACTATTTTTTACATTGGACCTTTAGGAAAAAGTCCTCAAAATTTCAACTTTCCACTCACTTTAGTTTTTGAGTGAAAAAATTGTTTGTAAAGTCTTACTTTACAAAACGACATTATTTTAAAAAATCATAACTCCATTAATAATAACTCAATGGCTTTGAATTTTCACTATTTTTTACATTGGACCTTTAGGAAGAAGTCCTCAAAATTCAACTTTCCACTCACTTTAGTTTTTGAGTGAAAAAATTGTTTGTAAAGTCTTACTTTACAAAACGACATTATTTTTAAAAAATCATAACTCCATTAATAATAACTCAATGGCTTTGAATTTTCACTATTTTTTACATTGGACCTTAGGAAAAAGTCCTCAAAATTTCAACTTTCCACTCACTTTAGTTTTTGAGTGAAAAAATTGTTTGTAAAGTCTTACTTTACAAAACGACATTATTTTTAAAAAATCATAACTCCATTAATAATAACTCAATGGCTTTGAATTTTTCACTATTTTTTACATTGGACCTTTAGGAAAAAGTCCTCAAAATTTCAACTTTCCACTCACTTTAGTTTTTTGAGTGAAAAAAATTGTTTGTAAAGTCTTACTTTACAAAACGACATTATTTTTAAAAAATCATAACTCCATTAATAATAACTCAATGGCTTTGAATTTTCACTATTTTTACATTGGACCTTTAGGAAAAAGTCCTCAAAATTTCAACTTTCCACTCACTTTAGTTTTTGAGTGAAAAAATTGTTTGTAAAGTCTTACTTTACAAAACGACATTATTTTTAAAAATCATAATCCATTAATAATAACTCAATGGCTTTGAATTTTCACTATTTTTTACATTGGACCTTTAGGAAAAAGTCCTCAAAATTTCAACTTTCCACTCACTTTAGTTTTTGAGTGAAAAAATTGTTTGTAAAGTCTTACTTTACAAAACGACATTATTTTTAAAAAATCATAACTCCATTAATAATAACTCAATGGCTTTGAATTTTCACTATTTTTTACATTGGACCTTTAGGAAAAAGTCCTCAAAATTTCAACTTTCCACTCACTTTAGTTTTTGAGTGAAAAAATTGTTTGTAAAGTCTTACTTTACAAAACGACATTATTTTTAAAAAATCATAACTCATTAATAATAACTCAATGGCTTTGAATTTTCACTATTTTTTACATTGGACCTTTAGGAAAAAGTCCTCAAAATTTCAACTTTCCACTCACTTTAGTTTTTGAGTGAAAAAATTGTTTGTAAAGTCTTACTTTACAAAACGACATTATTTTTAAAAAATCATAACTCCATTAATAATAACTCAATGGCTTTGAATTTTCACTATTTTTTACATTGGACCTTTAGGAAAAAGTCCTCAAAATTTCAACTTTCCACTCACTTTAGTTTTTGAGTGAAAAAATTGTTTGTAAAGTCTTACTTTACAAAACGACATTATTTTAAAAAATCATAACTCCATTAATAATAACTCAATGGCTTTGAATTTTCACTATTTTTTACATTGGACCTTTAGGAAAAAGTCCTCAAAATTTCAACTTTCCACTCACTTTAGTTTTTGAGTGAAAAAATTGTTTGTAAAGTCTTACTTTACAAAACAACATTATTTTTAAAAAATCATAACTCCATTAATAATAACTCAATGGCGTTGAATTTTCACTATTTTTTACATTGGACCTTTAGGAAAAAGTCCTCAAAATTTCAACTTTCCACTCACTTTAGTTTTTGAGTGAAAAAATTGTTTGTAAAGTCTTACTTTACAAAACGACATTATTTTTAAAAAATCATAACTCCATTAATAATAACTCAATGGCTTTGAATTTTCACTATTTTTTACATTGGACCTTTAGGAAAAAGTCCTCAAAATTTCAACTTTCCACTCACTTTAGTTTTGAGTGAAAAAATTGTTTGTAAAGTCTTACTTTACAAAACGACATTATTTTTAAAAAATCATAACTCCATTAATAATAACTCAATGGCTTTGAATTTTCACTATTTTTTACATTGGACCTTTAGGAAAAAGTCCTCAAAATTTCAACTTTCCACTCACTTTAGTTTTTGAGTGAAAAAATTGTTTGTAAAGTCTTACTTTACAAAACGACATTATTTTTAAAAAAATCATAACTCCATTAATAATAACTCAATGGCTTTGAATTTTCACTATTTTTTACATTGGACCTTTAGGAAAAAGTCCTCAAAATTTCAACTTTCCACTCACTTTAGTTTTTGAGTGAAAAAATTGTTTGTAAAGTCTTACTTTACAAAACGACATTATTTTTAAAAAATCATAACTCCATTAATAATAACTCAATGGCTTTGAATTTTCACTATTTTTTACATTGGACCTTTAGGAAAAAGTCCTCAAAATTTCAACTTTCCACTCACTTTAGTTTTTGAATGAAAAAATTGTTTGTAAAGTCTTACTTTACAAAACGACATTATTTTAAAAAATCATAACTCCATTAATAATAACTCAATGGCTTTGAATTTTCACTATTTCTTACATTGGACCTTTAGGAAAAAGTCCTCAAAATTTCAACTTTCCACTCACTTTAGTTTTTGAGTGAAAAAATTGTTTGTAAAGTCTTACTTTACAAACAACATTATTTTTAAAAAATCATAACTCCATTAATAATAACTCAATGGCGTTGAATTTTCACTATTTTTTACATTGGACCTTTAGGAAAATGTCCTAAAAATTTCAACTTTCCACTCACTTTAGTTTTTGAGTGAAAAAATTGTTTGTAAAGTCTTACTTTACAAAACGACATTATTTTTAAAAAATCATAACTCCATTAATAATAACTCAATGGCTTTGAATTTTCACTATTTTTTACATGGACCTTTAGGAAAAAGTCCTCAAAATTTCAACTTTCCACTCACTTTAGTTTTTGAATGAAAAAATTGTTTGTAAAGTCTTACTTTACAAAACGACATTATTTTTAAAAAATCATAACTCCATTAATAATAACTCAATGGCTTTGAATTTTTCACTATTTTTTACATTGGACCTTTAGGAAAAAGTCCTCAAAATTTCAACTTT